AAACCGTTTTCTTATAAATATATATATATCGTTTATTTAAATCAAATCTACTAACATTTACTGGTGATATTGATTTGCTGTTTATTTCCAAAAATATTTGAACATAAAATCGTTGTTATATTTAACTATGGCACTTATTGTGAAAGTAAAAAGGCATAAATGATAAAAGTAAATTAAAAACAAACTTACCTTTGCCATCTAAATGCTATTTTTGATGAAAAATTATATTTATGTTTCGACGGAAGTTTCACGAAATCATATGACAAGTTTTCAATGACGCGCGTGCCTACGTAAAATTGTTACGTCATAGGAAAAAACCGCGTGTATGGTGTACATTTCAGAACTTAAAATATAAAGTTAAAATTCATGAACTTTGAACGTTTGTAAAAAAAAGTTGTGCACAGAGTTATATGTGCAACTTTTTTTCTGACAAATACATATACCAGACCTATTCAATGAACAAAGATTCAAAACTTTTGCAGTTAGTTCTGGGTCATATTTTATTTTTACTAGACTAGAAGGTAGTCTAGTACTGGTGTAACTCTCCAGGAACGATGGTTAGGAAATTACCCGCCTATATGACTGAAATACTGTTGGGAAAGGCGTAAAATAACACAAACAAACAAACAAAAGCTAAATCTTGATCTAGAAAATACCAACAGATCATTGTCTTTTTGACCATAAGATATGTCTTCAATACAGATGTTAGAATTTATTTTGAATTTAAAAGTATTAGGAAAAGTGAGCTTTTTATACATTTGTAGTATCATACTTTCAATGTTTATCAAAAGAAAAAATAACTTTTCGTGTCATTTATCTATTTTGTTTAGAGAAAGGTATTGTCATGCAAAGGGGGATAAATTTTAAGTTAGGGTTGCTTAAAAAACGAAAAATGAAATATTATAATATCCCCAATCTAAAAAATGCAAAATTTGACTAAAGAATTACAATTCTATCATGGCATTAGTATTAATGAATTTTCTGTATCAAAAGAAATAAATCCAGAATTTGTTTATAAGGGCCAAAATGAGATCAGAACTTAAAATAAATTTAAATCCAAGTATTATTAAAATAAAAACAACTTTTAAATCTAAGAAGATAATTAATCCTCTCAATAAAAAGTATAGTGAAGTATTATCAATACTTCAATATAAAATATTAAACTTTCTAAACAAAATATTTAACACTAAGGTATTTCGACCATATGCATATGATACAATTTCGTCAAATTTTATTTAACTCAAAGCATGATAATCTTCTGGATCAAAATTTTAAATCAAAGTATTATTAATTCTTCCTTATCAAAAATTTGATTTTAAATCCATGTAATGTTAAATTGTCTTTGTAAAAGAGTAAATTTTAACAAGCGTTTTAACAAATATCCTCTGAATCAGAATTTTTAATACTGGTACAAAAGGGAATAATTAGTCAACTAAAATAATTTTGGATGCTATGACTTGATCATTTTATTAATAACTAGACTAAGTAATGATCAAAATCAAATGCTTATAAATTACAATTAAATGTGAAACAGGTTTCAAAGTTATATTCAATAATCAATGATCTGTGACGGACATGCATTTATCTACAAAATAAGATATTTTTATTGCTGAATAAAATCCTGTACAATAATTATTATTGGGTATTGTGAGTTTTAGTACTATCTTTTATAGCAAGAAAGATTTCTTAAAAATAACCAAAGCGAAATGTATATGAGTTTTTTTAACGACAGTTTTCAATAAATAAATAAATAAATAAATAAAAATAAATAAAATTCTCTTTTAAGTCACACATATTGTTATCTCATTAATGGGCCTACCCCTCCCCCTTAACTGTATATCTGGAATTAAAATTTCATATATTTATTAGATATACTGTAAAATTAATCTAAACTTTCATTGGCTCCAACGCTGACAGAAACATAAATTATATAGGAGACAAAAAGTTTGTCCGACCAGCCGACCAGCAACTGTTGTTATCAGTGAATCTATTTTTAGAAAAATCCTTGTTATAAATAAAAAGGTACATTTTCAGGTTCACCAAATTGAGTTTTCATTTTCATATCTATTATAGCTATTAACAATGAACCAATCTTAAACAAGTGTATTTAATCTTTATACTTGTGTTTTGTTTTATACCATAATAATACAAACTATATTACAACATCATATACATATCCCTGCTAGCGCCAGGACATTAATTTATGTAATTAACTAGGGCACAACATTTTTATTATTTCGTGCGAGCAGAGTATAATCACTTATTTTTAAGTGAATAATCAGTGAATTCTTCGGAGGAAAATACGCTGCTTAAACAACTATCAATGCTGATAGGAGCATGTATCTACCGCAGAAACTCTGCTCAGTCTGTATTGGTTTTTATCCGTGGATTACAATCCGTAGCTAAGTAAACGCCATTTGTAATGGATAAATTAGTGTCAACCTACTTGTTTTAAATTGCATTTGTAGCGTAAATAGTGCAGGTTATTATCTTGTTTTTGTTGTAGCTGTTGTTGTTATTGTTGTTTTCATTCTATAAGAAATAAATACATGTAAAAGACTGGGCTATACAGGTAAGATTTTTTTGCATTTAAAACAGGCATCATAGAGCTATTTAGAAAGCAAATGACTCACGCTCTGGCATAAACATGTAATATGTTATTCGATAAATTTAGTACGTTTGGCGCTGATTTAAGCAAACTCACGGTGTCAAGGGTATACGCATCATTTTTCCGCGTACCGCCGATAATCTATCATCCTGCGCGCAGCACCGTATCATTCTTACGTAATCTTCTGAAAAGTTCAAGAGGTAACTTCAAAAATGCGAAAATTTCTTACTAAAATTGATTTTATTGAGAGAGTTTGCATACACCACGGAAGTTTTGAATGATTCATCTATGTGTGCAAAATATTTTGCAACACTATTTGTCTATCATAACCTAAAACTAATGAAAACACTTTTATACATGTAAAACATTTGTGTTCTTGATGCGAACATTTTTCATCCTTTTCCGAAAGTAAAGTTGTCGGAAGAAGTATCATATGTCAAATGATCACAAAAAGCATTGATACGAGCTGATAACATACCAATTTTATACAAATAATGCAAAATAATGTTGTAAAATCAAGAAAACTTTGATAAACATGGTACCGCATCATGCAGAACCATGGCACCGCTTCTTTTTTGCGCGGTAATATACTGCATACATGTACATAAAAATGTGTTAACTGTTGTTCTTTTTTGTTTAATTTTTTTTTTGGAGGGGGTATTGTTCCTTTTATCTTGTAGGATTGACAAGAAAAGATAAATGTTTGGTTATCGTTAGGGTAAGCGGGCAGATGATTACCTCGGCCTGAAAGCAATCTAGACCTCTATTGTTGTTTTTTTAAAGATAATTTCTTATAAAAAATTATATGCTTTCGTAGCAGTTGCATTTTTATGTCTGTTGTGGAGTTCAACTTTTCTTTGGACTCGGGAATTGCATAATATTTGCTGATATCAGTAATTGAACTTTTACTCTCAAATTTGTTAATACAACACACAGGCAAGCCTAAAATAGTATTTATTTTTTACATTTGAATTTTTAGTTACCTTACTAATTGACTGGGCAACGTAACTTACGCATGTTACTGAATTTAAGAAAGGTGGCAACTATGTGCTCCTGAATTATTTATTATAAGACCATACCCGCAGCAGAGCTATTCAAAAAGTGTCTTCTTACGTCTGTAAAATATGGTGGCTGATTGGTACATTGCGCGTTGCGTTGTCGGTATCGTTATCGCCTTTTCGTCTTGTCCTAACGACAACACTACATAGCGCCAAACAGCGCATTGTCGCGCTCTCGTCTTGTCGTCCTGTCTCTAGTGAAGCACGCCAAACGGCGCGTGGACATGTGACGTGATGTCGCCCTGTCGCCTTGGCTTATAAGCAAATCCTTCGATTTTGAACGAGCGACAATGTGACATTGCGACAACACGCCGCACGACAACGCACCGTTTGGCGTACATCGTTAGCAACATGACGACAAGACGAAAGCCCGACAATGCGCCGTAAGTTTGGCGCTTTGTCGTGTTAGCGCTAGGGTGTTAACGCACAAAAGAATTCCAAATCAGCCATTATAGTAAGAAGACACTTTTAAATAACCGTTACTTAAATCCTCTTGCGAATCGAAATATAAAAATCTTTCGCGATTAAACTTAATTTTCGCATGTTTTATTCGAGAACTGTAACTTATTTACAGTACCAGTGACTGTACAGAAAGTCCACGAAAGAGAATGTTAAATCTCGCTTCTTATCTATTAAGAAGACCCAGTGCGCTGCTTGATAGTAAAAACAAAAGCCTTAAGATTTTTTCAATAAGGGCGATAGTTCTGTCAAAATTCACAAATTACAATAGCTCTCCCCTATTTTTCGAATAGTTGACCTAAATCAAGAGATTAAGTCAATCTTAACAGGCGATATTTTAACAGTCTCAAACAGGACACTATAGAAACCGATGGAAAGTAGTGCGCATCTCATGAGAAAGTCCAGTTTATCGTGAAATTGGATGGCCATTTCCAGGAACACAGTAACTGTTGATTTAGCATTGACGAAACTAAAAGTTGTTCGTTGGAAGATGGTAACCACTTAGTTGGGTTTTTTATATCGTCTGACATTCTATAAAAAAAAACATTAAAAGGACTCCACTGAGGTTTAAAAGCCTAAAATCAAACATTTGAATTTCTTACATAAATGAGCACACTTTAGACAGAAATATATGCAAATATAGTTACGAAATATAGTTAAGAAATATACTTTGAAATAATTGAAAATTGTATTAAATTGTTTTTCTTAGTCCGATTTGAGTGAAAAGCGTTTAAACGCTTTTCATTTTTGTCATTTTATTTACAATGTGAATAATTATTCTGGAAAAACGAAGTGATCTGAAAATTTTGCACAAAGATTAGAGGTCTAAAATATACACCAAATGGTACATTTACATGGAAAAAAATTTTCAGTCAAACCTCAGTGGAGTCCCTTAAAGTGACATTTACAATGTACTGTACCACCGCCCCACACACATAAAAAACAACTGCCATAAACGGCGAGCATTGCGTTAGCGTTAAGGTAATATGTGAATAAGAAAACTTACTAAATTTAGGTCCAAAACGTAATCCATATAACATTGACGCAAAACAAGTTAGAGACGATTACATACTAGTAATCGATTTTATTAAATTTGACATTCTGTTAATTGATGGCAGCCATTTAACATTGTTTAAACATGAATGAAAGTGAATTATGTCCGATTTACTAAGTGCACGAAAGTTCCGTGCGAATACAATTTACCTACACCCTTCACTGCCCAAACTTAAAGGCCATGCAAATAGTGTTCTATAGCTTTATATTTTTAACGTGAACATACATAGATCTATTTGTAATCAAATGTATTTTCTATCTATAATTAAATGTGTATTAATTTTATCGGTTCTTTACAATTTAATGTCGTAAATTCAGATACAGTTACTCCTATTTTCTTCAAATTGTCTTCTTATGTCTGTAAGAAGACACTTCTGAAGGAAAACTCGTACTGTATCCATTACACATCTTTGTCGGCATGCTTGAGGTTCGAGCTCACGCCATTGACAAGCGATGCCAGAAATTCCAAGTCCGACGTTTCGGTCTTAAAGTCACGGTTCGATTCCTTACTCTTCCAATGTATTTACTAAAATCTTTTATTTAAAACAATATTTATTTTACGAACATTTCATTTTCATGATAACTGACAAATTTAAATTGCACGGATTGAGTAGTAAAGCTTGAAAATCTTGTTTTTTTAGAAACTCTCACCGTAAGCACTATCTCAAAGAGTATGTATGAAATGGTGACAATTAAATATCTATATTTGTGGTAAATATACATAACATTTTTCACTAAAAAGTTGCTTCTTTACATGTACAAAAATGTAAGCAATTTGCACTCTGGTTGTGTTAATTGAACCGATCTTTAATAATAAAGTATCGACTCAAATTCTTTCGAATATGACCGTGGTCCCACGTGTTTTAGTTTTATAACATTTTATTGCATTTTTTGTACATGATTAATTTACACAATCTAACATCATTATCTTAAGCATATTAAAATATAATGTACATACAAAAGGTTTGGACCAAAAGTTATACCAACATTATCTAGGGTCTCCCCTGAAAGGTCTATCTGTTGGCTTAATGGTAACATAGTAAGTAAATGTGGTGTTTTAGAAATTCTGATATATTATTTATATGATAAGCGATATTAATTTCATGTATTTTTAACTTGGTAAAAAAGAATCGCTTAACTAAAAAAAAAAAAAAAAAAAATAGAAAATTACAAAATGACTTTAAAAAATATATGCCATTAACAATTTGCCACTATAATAAACGCACGTGTTTACGCCGGGCACACAAAAAAGAACCAGGTTTGCTTTTACTGGTTCAAAATAATAAATATACATCTACAGGGCCTCGCCCAGATGGGCAACAATAAATAAATACAAATAAGATTTTTCATTATAAGGTTAATCATCATGATGCGGTGCAAGTCTAGCGCTAATGTATACGTGCCACAATTTTCGGTGCGGACCCATGATACGTACCAAGAGAACTCGGTCAGTTGTCACACTTTTATGACTTTTTTAAGAAATTAAACAGCTTAAATTTGTGTGCAAGAGTCTGTGTATTATATATCTTTGAACGCTATCAGTTATATTAAAAAAATACTTTGAGTGACAACATAATTATCTCTTTTAGAAGTTTTTCAAATGCTCATTTTCCCCAAGCCATCCACTCTAGCTGTTTTCATTAAAACAAAGTAAATCGTAAAAGTCTTTGATAAAAACTAGCTAAAGACATAAGCTTCAATAATCATAATATTCCGTAGACACACTTTTATGAATACACTTACTTCAAAAATGTGACTTTCAGGCCGTTTTCCATCATGCATGTGATGTTTACGTGTTTGTTTTGTCTAAAATGATACGGTGCTGCGCGCAGGATGATAAATTTTCGACGGTACGCGGAAAAATGATGCGTATACCCTTGACACCGTGAAACTACTTATTGAAAATAACATTAACTGTCTAGTCATTCTAGTTAAAATAATTTCCTATATAACGCTTCAGTAGGTCTGAACTTTAGTCAGATTGCTGTTTCTTGTAAGCGTCTATAACTTATTACAGCTATACGTGTAAGTATTAGCATTTCCGAACATGCAATATCGCCGTTCAGCCGGGTATTCGAAAAATATATTCTTTCGTGAAATAGATAAGAATCCTTCCTGGAAAAATAGAGCAGTTTTTCCACTATGGTTTCGAGCTTCGAACACGAAAAAAGTATTTCAATTTTATATAAAGGTAACCCAACAAAATATGGCAGAAGGCTTGCCCCGTAGGCGCCCCTTTTGAGGTCTTTTGTCGTCCATTTTGTTATCATGTGGTATTAAATTCTCCATTTTGATTGGCTGAGGACAGGCGGTGTACGAATAGAATTGTCAAATCTTGTTAATTGTATTATATTTCTGGTAATCGGACGCATTATGTTTGTTCACTTAAGGGATAAATTATAAAACTGTGGGTTATTATTACATGATTATAAACTGGTTTATTACATGCAAACTTAACAGCAATCTAAAACATATCGCATTTATTATAATTGTAGTTCATAGTCAGTGAAAAAATGCATTGGGCTTATGTAGCAGAACTGACTGCACGCAATAACTCTTGTAATGTAATTACCTAATGAATGCAGTAACTTGTTAAACCTGAAGATGGAAATCTTCAAGGTTTTTTTTCTTCATTTGTATCATTTCTAATACCGTACATGAAAGAGTAGTTCTTTATTTCCAATCAAATATAAACGCATGATAAAATCTCATAAATTAAAGAAAATAGAGAAGAAGACTATAGTTTATGTAAATGCATTATTGAAAAGTTGAAAAGTAAATGGTTTTTAGTTGTTGTTGTTGTTGTTTTTTTTTTTTTTTTTTGTTTTTTTAAACGCATTATTTCTTCGTTTTCAGAATTGAGAAATGTAGGAAAAGGGGACTGCCTATAAATCCGTATATCCACCTTTACCAGCAGAGCAAAATCCGTAAGAAACTCACAAGATGGTAACTAACGAGAATCAAGAGGCACCAGCAGCAGACGATGTAAAGTTCACCACGACGGTTAAACAGGATGGAGCATTGCCCACTGTTCGAAGAGTTAATATATTATTTTGGTCTAACTTTGTAGGTGTCCTTCTGTTACTGGTTGGATTTGTCGCCCCTGGTTGGTTGACAATAACAGCTGAGCATAAATTAACATATATACCAAGCAGTTGGTCTGGGAGGACTCAACACATACAAGATGTATACCAAGATTATGCACTTTGGTACGTCATCCAGTGTTACCCGCATGATGGTAAAAACATTGAATGCGAGACTATGACGTACAGATCTATAAGTGGCATCTACGCAGACGAAGTTACTAGTTACGAAAAGCTAGCAATAGCTAGGCTGGAAAATGAAGGTGGTGACAAATTCATGTTTCATGGAGTAGCACTAAGTGAGTTAAAATATTATATAATCTGGTTTATTTCAGAAGAATCACGAGAAGGGTATCTTTACAATCAGGAAATAGAAGATATTCAAGTTTGTTTTCTTTAAATACAAGGTTTATTTTCATTGAGTAGTATGAAAATAAATGTTTCATAAAATATGATAATTTTCATGGTATTAAAATAAATGTTTCATGAAATATAATAATTTTCATACAATAAGATGAAAATAAATCTTGTATTTATCAAAAGAAAAAAAACTTGAATTGTTTGTTTATTATATACATGCATTCTTCCCTTTTTAGCTCACCTGTCACAAAGTGACAGGGTGAACTTTTGTGATCGCTTTTCGTCCGGCGTCCGTCGTCGGTCCGTAAACTTTTACTTTAAATGACATCTCCCCATAAACCACTAAGCCTATTCATCCAACTTTCACAGAATGTTCCTTTGGTGGTCACCTTTAAAAATTGTTCAAAGAATTTAATTCCATGCAGAACTCTGGTTGCCAACCGAAAGAAAAAACTTTTAATATCTTCTTTTAAAAAACCCAAAGAGCTAGAGCTTAGATATTAGGCATAAAACATCTTCTAGAGAGTGTCTACCAAGTTTGTTCAAATAAAAGCCCTGGGGTCAAAATTGGCCCTGCCCCAGGGGGTCATTGATTTACCCTATATGCATATAGTAAAAACTTAAAAAATCTTCTTTTAAAGAACCCAAAGAGCTAGAGCTATGATATCTATAGCATGAACCATCTTCTTATGAGTGTCTACCAAGTTTGTTCAAAATAAAAGCCCTGGGGTCAAAATTGGCCCCGCCCCAGGGGGTCATTGATTTTCCCTATATGCATATAGTAAAAACTTAAAAATCTTCTTTTAAAGAACTCAAAGGGCTAGAACTAAGATATTTAGCTTGAAACATGTTCTAATGGATGTCTACCAAGTTTGTTCAAATAAAAGCACTGGGTCAAAATTGGCCCCGCCCCGGAGGTCATTGATTTTCCTTATATGTGTATAGCAAAAACTTAAAAATCTTCTTTGAAAAAACCCAAATAGCTCGAGTTTAGATATTAAGCTAAAACATCTTCTAGTGAGTGTCTACAAAAATTGTCCAAATAAAAGCCCTGGGATCAAAATTGGCCCCACCCCGGGGTACATTGAATTTCCTTATATGTGTATAGCAAAAACTTAAAAATCCTCTTTGAAAAAAACCCAAATAACTAGAGTTTAGATATTAAGCATGAAACATCTTCTAGGGAGTGTCTACAAAGTTTGTTCAATAAAAGTCCTGGGGTCAAACTGGCCCCGCCCTAGGGATGTCATTGTTTTTAACTATATGTGTATAGTAAAATCTTAAAAGATCTTCGTTTAAAAACCTAATGAGCTAGAGCTTAGATGTTTAGAATGAAACATCTTCTTATGGGTATCTACCAAGTTTATTCAAATAAATGCTCTTGGGTTAAAATTGGCCCTGCCGAGGAGGGGGGGAGGTCATTGTTTTTCATTATATGTGTGTAGTAAAAACTTAACATCATGAAACATCTTCTAATGGGTGTCTTCCAAGTTTGTTCAAATAAAAGCCCTGGGGTTTAAACTGGCCCTGCTCCGGGGGCCTATATACAGGTGAGCGACCTCAGGGCCATCATAGCCCTCTTGTTTAACATTATTGACAGTACACTTTGAAAGACTTTCCCTTTAGTTTTGATTATTGGCTGAATTTAGAAGAAAGTTGTCCGGCAAGACACCAGAGAAAATACGGAAAATATGTTTCACTGCAATGAAAATATAGTTTTACAGTGAAAATACGGAAAATAAAATACGCATTTTATTTCATCAATATTTCTCAATATTTCATTTATAAGTATTGTAACGCTTCGTGGTTCTCTGGGCGATGATATATTAGAACTCAATAAATAATAACTCTCTTTGTAAAATAAATGTATTATTCCACTAAATATCAAGTATTCCATACAATTACAACAAACCAAAATAACATCTTAACTGAATGAACTCAAACACACTACTCCTAACACTGACCATAACATCTCTTTATATAGGTAAAAGCTATTCCTCTTAGTCCAAATAAACCTTTACTTCCTGTAAATCTATATAGTCCTAAAAAGTCTATATGTCCAATCAAAATTCGTCACACTGCCCCCTTCTTGAGAGTCTGAACTTCCACTGTTCATATTTTTACACTAACACATATTCATGGTTTTTTATGTGAAATTAACTGAAAATATTCATGATTAAACACAAACAAAAGAAGCTCATTTCTTATGAGAAAAATGTTGTTCACTAATAGATGTCGTAACACTTGTTAATTTTCACATTTATAGTTTACATCTGTCAGTTAATTTTTATCTTGATACTGTGAAGCATATTCATTGAATTCTTCTTGAAAAAGTTTAAATAATCTCCATGGTGTCACTTCATCTAAATCAATGCGTTCGCAATATCCAATTGAAGCTGTACGTTTTACCTCCGTAGGTGTTCCATTGACAAGCTTTATTGTGCGCTGCAATGTCAAGTTGATAGCTGAGACAATATATTCCTCTTGAGTATTAGCATTCTCGTCATCAATATTAATGACGTCATCATCCTCGTTTGGGTTGCTGATATCATCATATATGACGTCATCGTTCACGATACCGCCATCATCTACATTGTCTTGATTCGATAGTTCAGCCTCATTTTGATTGTTTGCATATGTATTATTGTTGTTTACGTTACAATGTTCACCTTCACATTCTTTGTTTATGTCATCATTTCTATCTTCTGTAATTACGTCACATTCTTCATCCTGTAAATTAATGTCACAGTTTTCATCTTGTACAAATGTTCCATCACTTGCTACACTTTGTGTTTCATCAACACACTGAGCAATTTGCTCGAAATGATTCTGCACTGTAACATCGGGTTCTGGAATGCTAACTTCAGTATGACCGTCAAGATCTTCTAGAGCTTTTAAGTAATCACTTAGATCTGGAATTGATTCCACAATTCCGTCAACACACTAAGATTCCGTGGCTGTGATTAACTTATGTTGAGATGTAGCAGTGTTCCCATCTAGTTGATTACTGGTGCTCATCACTTGTTCATTATAAGAAGAATCTTGTTGCTGCTGATTAACAGGATCATAATCTGGCTTCTGTCCTATTAAGCTTTCAAAGAAACTCTCGTCTGAGCTTATGTCACTGTAATAAGATTCACTCCATTCCTTTTTGGTCATTTTTTGAGCACAAGCACTTCTACGTTTTGATGTCGAAGCACTTAGTCCATGTTTCCGTTCAAGATGATTTCTCAAGTATGACATCCTGATATATAATCCGTCACAATTCTTTTCCGTACACACATAATATTTCTGTTCAGGTATGTGTTTCTCTTTTATGTGTCTTTTTAGATTACTCTTACTGCTAAAATTCTTTCCACAAGTGTCACAACAATAACCCATATTGATAAAATCAACAAAATCTTTTAGATAAGCAGGTTTTTTAATTACACGTCTACTTCGAATAAAATCTTCAGAGCTACTAACATGTGCACTTGTTAAATTGTTTTCGCGCCTTTTTCCTGCACGGGAAATTTGTGCTCGTTCCACCTCAGGTAATTGGTCCGATTGATCCGTTATGTTCATTTGCACCGACTGATCCAACGGATCCGATTGAATAGACTGATCCGTTTGGTCCGTTATGCTCTGTCTGTTAACGTTTTCCGTTTGTCCGTCGGTACGACGTGCGTTTATGTTTAATTGATTTATATTCATTCTGTAGTCTTTATTTAAAGTTTTATTACTAATTGAACTTCCAGCTTTATTTGCTACAGAATTTCTTGTGTGTATTTCTGCATTATTCGATAAGAATTCTTGCAGGTTCGGCTGTTGAATGTCCGTTGAAATATTCTGTTCTTTTTGTACGTTAATGCTTGAACTCCCATGAAACTTCTTAAGATTATCTCCATGAACTATAACAGGTGGAGATGATTCGGAATGTCGAATATTGAACAACACATCACATAGTTTTTCTTTAATAATCCATGGCCCTGTCCAATGGCGTACGATTTTTGATTTAACTCCTGGAACTGTCTTTTTCTGATTTCTCATAACAAAATCACCGACTTCATATTGATGTATCTTCATGCGACAATCGAAATGTTTCTTTTGTCTTTCTACGGACTTCGACAAATTGTTTCGCACAAGACTGTGCATTTTAATCAATTTCTCTTGAAGATTTTTAACGAAAGTTGGAATGTTGTTGTGTCGTTCTCCAGTACTCTCATTAAATTCACTTCCGGTCTGAACATTTATTGGAAGCGACATATCTTTTCCATAAACAATTCGATGTGGACTATAACCTGTACTTTCATGCACTGAACTATTATATGCTATCACGATGTACTCCAAGAATAAGTCCCACTCTGTTTCTTTAAACCAAAGCAACTCCATCACAGAAAACCTTATTACCATTCGCTGCCTTAAAACTGCACTTTGTTGACTTAAGTTCAGGCCTATACCGGTACTGAATGCTTTTAAAGGTATCTAAGGTAATAAATGTCCGTTTTGCACCTGTATCAATTTTCCAGTTCACTTGCTGATTACAGATTTTTCCTGAGACGTTCATACCCTTCTTTAGACTTACACTTATACAATTCTTTTTGTTTTCAGTAACTTCACTCTGTTGAGGTCTTTCCTTAACATTGATATCGACCGTTCTCTGACCTCCCGAGGCGGCCGATCCCAGTTACCCGATACAGCTTTAGAATCCTGCTTACTAGGAGATTCTTTTTGATCCCTCTGATTCGAGTATTCTACTTGGCGTCTGTTTGAACTCCAGCTATTACAAGTCAAGTTTTCACGTCTTGGCCACTCGTTATAACGCTCTAGGTGTAAGACACGCCCACTCTTGTAGTCAATTCAATGTTTTTCACGTTCCGTTTGTCTTAAACACTCTTCTTGTATGGCAGCTGCTATCGCATCCTGCAAGGTTTTGGGTCTAGTTCTTTTCACATCTATTAAAGAGACTGTCAAACGAGTTAAGATGGCATGAAGGTACAAACATTTATGCCTGATAAAGGTCACTTTGTTAATTAGCCTTGTTGTTAACATCATGTCTTGGTAAGTAAAAAAAATAAACATAAGGCTGTTTTGAATAATGGAATTTAATTTGTGATGTTAATAATTCCAGATCTACAACTGATTAATTATGCAATACCGATTAGAAAAAAACTTTAACTTTGACCAATCAAATCTTCACAAAACAACTGCTTCTGGCAATAGTTATATTACAGACACATTTTTCAAATGCATTTATTATATAATAACTTACGTTAAAACCATGTATGCTTTAAGGATATTATTACAATTACCATGTTGCAATCGGTTGACGTGAGTCAAGCTTTTCCGGATGATCCAGTGCAAGTCAATTTGTTAAGATGTAGAAGCTGAAAACCATTGCCCGCGGCACATAATTATTCAAAGTATTTTACATAATTCAGTTGGAAACTTATTGAAACCGATGTAAAGGCTCTGTCAGCCAATAACTTAAGGAGTGTTTTCCATCTGCCAGTTGTCATATCATTTGTTTTACATTAATTGACCTGTAATTCACAGTCAATGTCGCGTTGTATCTGATAGTTGGTAACAGGTGGCTGACTCCAGCTTTGGAATCAGACAGTGACGTTTATATGCAATGTGATGAAGTTGACAGCTAAAACAACGTCGCATACGTGGATGGTACGATAATAAAATTATCCAGGTGTTCACAAAGTATGTGATATATTAGATAATAAAGAGGACAAAAAACCTCACAGGATGTCGTTTGTTCAGAGTAAAAAAGGGTCATGATTTTATATTATATATATAATTATATAGTTTAATTCGTTGATACACATTGCATTGAAATAATTCAGTAATTTGATATGCAAGTAGATTAATAATCAATCAACTACAAAAAGCCATCTTCTTTGCGCAAACAAATTTTATTTTATAGTTTTCTTTAATAAAGTTTTGTTCTTATACAATAATATAATGTTTTAAAACTGATCAATTTAAACTACTGTAATATAATTAGATAAAGGATTTTGATGCATACATGATATGCAACAATGTGTTTGATTTGAAATCTGACAGAATTTTAGTTTAAGATTTTAACAACACAGTTTCCGGTTTATTGATCAATACTGATTTTAATGAAAATGCAAACTATTAATATATTGGTTATTATAAAATAAAAGTAAAAGTAAATGAAATTGAATAGCTGAATATTTTATCTAATGTACACTTGACAAAAACCTTGGTACTTAGTAGTAGTTTCTGCTATTTATCTGTTTTCTTCTCGACTATTATACTCATTAACTAAGTTACTCGCGTAATCTTTGTTTTGAATGAACGTATCTTACCAGTTTTGTCTCCTCGATGCTATTGCTATATTTGACATTTCGTGTTTAATGTAAATTTGTACAAAAAGCTGAAATGTTTCTACCAAAGCCATAACGAATACATTGTATACTTAAGAATAAAAACGCACGAAAATGTATTCAACTTTTTCTGAAAGAAGTAGAAATATACTTTTACCATGCAGTATATTTGACTATACGTGTATACTTGTATGTACATATATTTAAACGCATGCTGATTTCAAAACGCAAACAAATGCGGAATTAGAATTAAAGCTGTTAGTTCGTTATTGTTTTGATTTTTAATCCATTTAGAAATTCTTTGCTGGAGAAGCAATACAACATGCTGCAAACCTTCGTTGTGTTAGGCTTGTAGAAACTTGTTGAACAAAGCAAAGCAAAAAGAAAGACAGACAGAAATTTTAAAGCTGTTATATTTCGTGCTGACGTTCTTTGCAAAAGAAGAAAAGAAAATTCAAGATTAGATAAGCATCAAGCAGCATTGATTTATTAGATATAAGCAAATATATATTTCGTGCTTAACTTTTAAGAACAAAAAGAAAATTCAAGATCACATAAGCATCAAGCAACATTGCTTTGTTAGAATTAAGCAGATACACAGTTAATAAGATGGTTCAAAAGTGAAATATACTTCATGCTTATAATGTACAAACAAATGATTGAATGTCAGGAATTTAAATAAATTTCTTTTCAAGTCAGATACAACTACCAACCAAAATAAAAAAGGTAAACATTCAGGCACACTTGTATTGATTCATTCACACTCTCTTCACAATGCTGGCACCTTACAACTTAAAATTGCCAGTTTTACATTCTTCATATTCCATGCAAAACCGCACAAGCAATATCACCCAGCCAGTACTTGTAAGAAAGCTCTTAATATGTAAATAGTGTAAGAAACATTCGAGATTGACTGGAACGCATAAACTGAAGTATAATTCAATGATACCACTTGTAGCTTGAAAAACACCACTTTAAACACGGAGGCATGCAAAAATCCAATTAAAATCTATTAGTGCATAGCTGTCATACAAGCACAAACACCTGTCCTTTACAGGTATTAAAGGTATTTTTACCGCTTTATACGTTTTAATACGTAACATATTTTCTTACCGTTTTGTTTCTTTTTAAATTAAAGTTTTAATTGGATTAAGTGACCAGAAATTATTGGTTGCTTTATATTGCAAGTTAATTCATTATTGCTTTGGGAACATTTAACGCACCACTAATCTTAGTTTTATTTTGTTTGCATGGTTTTGTCTATTGTTTTTAAATATTTATAGGTTTCTAAGTATGTTCAGATTATTTGCTGATTGAAACCATATGTGTAAGAGAAAGTTGACTATATGTTTATTGAAGAATTATGCGATCAATTCAAGAGCAAGCAGGTAGGTAAATGTTTGAATGTATAATTGTGATAAATAGGTTATGGTTTCCAAGTATGAGAGCTCTCTCCACTTTGGACTCATGCGAGTTCAATAACATCCCAACTTCTTTCTTTCTGTTAACCTTTATGTTTTTTTGATCCCTCTGATTCGAGTATTCTACTTGGCGTCTGTTTGAACTCCAGCTATTACAAGTCAAGTTTTCACGTCTTGGCCACTCGTTATAACGCTCTATGCGTAAGACACGCCCACTCTTGTAGTCAATTCAATGTTTTTCACGTTCCGTTTGTCTTAAACACTCTTCTTGTATGGCAGCTGCTATCGCATCCTGCAAGGTTTTGGGTCTAGTTCTTTTCACAGACAACCTAAAGTCAGCTGAATCATGACAGTTTTCAAGAAAAGTACTCAACGACAGTTCTCCAACTATTCCTAAGCAATCTGGATAAGCTTTTCTAAGAAGATCCTCAATAGATTGGCCAAATTCTCTGTATGTCTCATTTTTCTGCTTTCTTCTTAATCTAGCATCAGCTATATAACTTTCTTTCATATTTACTATGCCAAATCTCTGTTCCATCCTTGAGAACAGTAAATCAAAATCAATTTGCACGCTTGACGGTAATCCGTATGCGAATGCTTCCGCCTGACCACGCAAAGAACACAGAAAAGTTCTCCTTGACTCTTCTTTGGACCAGTTATTCAAAATGGTCAAATTATCGAAGTACCTTCTAAAATCGTGCCACACATCACTTCCAGTTCCACTGAATGTTCTACGACACGGAAAATCACGGGATCGGGACTTTGCAGTATACTGCCCATTTCTTACAAAGTTGTGCACATTAGAGGTCCCAACACTTGGTACTTCATGGTGTACTGTACTAGATGATTGTCCAGTTGTTCTACTCGAACGCTGGGAGGCATAGTCAAAACAGAAAAACAACACAGACGAAACCAGAAAAATACACACGAGCACTAGATACGGCAAATATTCATCGATAGAAAATATAACCGTTTCCAAAACATATGTACGTATTTTCAGAATTCCACTTCTATAATGCTGAAATATTATGGCCACCAGAACGACTGCTATCCAGAATACTAGAAACTTTATCCATCTTCTCTTTGGTTTGTTTGTAAAAACGGAAACACTGTCCTTTTCACTCCAAATGGGAGACAAGGTATTGACATCGCTGTCAAAATTAGGCGGAAAGAATACTTGGCTGATTCCGGAATCACTAGTTGAAGCACATGGCTTCTTATCCTTTGAATCCATCTGATCCTTCATCGGAGTCGAGCATGCGGTCGGAGAGTTGATAGTTGGTTCCTTATCCACACCCTGATTAGTCTGTTTTGAAACATTTTCCAAGGCTGACATTCTGGCCACAAATGTTCACCGTTGTCCCAAAAACAAAAGACTTTGAAGAACTCACAACGTAGATTGTTCTAGGAATACAATAATCCACATAGGAATTGTATCCCACCGCTGCCACCAGTGTAACGCTTCGTGGTTCTCTGGGCGAGGATTTATCAGAACTCAATAAATAATAACTCTTCTGTGTAAAATAAATGTATTATTCCACCAAATATCAAGTATTCCATACAATTACAACAAACCAAAATAACATCTTAACTGAATGAACTCAAACACACTACTCCTAACACTGATCATAACATCTCTTTATATAGGTAAAAGCTATTCCTCTTAGTCCAAATAAACCTTTACTTCCTGTAAATCTATATAGTCCTAAAAAGTCTATATGTCCAATCAAAATTCGTCACAGTATAATATAACCGGATAGTAACCTAGTGACTAGTAAAAATATTTAAATTTATGTATTTAACTTTACTAGATTTATGAGATTTATTAGATTCATTAGATTTATTTATCTTATGAATCTTCAGAAAGATTAATATTCTATGATATTTTGTTTCAGTTTTCGGCTTTTCAAAGTTTGTTCAGATTCAAACGCTGTACACAATGGCTTTACTGATATCGTTCGCATTGCTCTATGTATGGTATGACCTTAGGAAAAAAGGTTGTAAGGGGCACAAGTAATGGTCCTAGCAAATGGATGTGGATTTTTCTGATTCTCCTGACAATTCTAGCCAGTGGGTATACTTTGCATGTAAAATTAATTAAATATATAAACTTTAATATTACATTCGGTAGAAGATAAAAAAAAACATGTTTGATTGTTTGATCCTAAATTCATATTAATTACTTCCAGAAATTCAGAATGCATATGAAGAAAAATAATGTTTTATATATTATAAGAGCAATCATGTGTCGCCTGATGATAGCCATTTAAGCAGTTGTATTGAGAGGTGACAGAAATGTAAATTGACTCTATTGGTGTTTGAATGTTTTCTGTAATGATGAGAATATAAGGCAAAAAGGGCCTTTTTAATTAAAGGACTATAAGTCAGCTAAAATTCATTCAACCGGAAAAAACGTTTAAATATGCGCAAGTACTCCAGGTACCCATCAATCATCGATCATTATTCAAATCTCATAAGTTGAAGAAGAGAAATTTTCTGGATAAATTTAAAAATAAAAGTCATTGAAGGGCCATAACTCTGACAAAAATCATTGAATTGGGAATTGCTAATGATATACACAAAATACTTGGTACTGACCATTCTTGTAAATTTCGGATGAAATTGCAACCTAATGTTTTTGATGATTAGGCCGAACAAGCTTTGCAGCGGTAGGACATTCACAGAAGCGACAGAAGTTATCCAAGCTACTATGTTTGTTTGTTTGTTTGATTGGGTTTTACGTCACACCGACTCAGTGTAGGTCATATGGCGACCACCTAGCTTTACCGGTGAAGAAAAACGTCAGATGCCCTCCGTGCATTATTTCAGGCACGAACGGGCACCTGAGTAAAACCACTGACGTTCCGTAAGCTAGCTGCATTGCTTCATTACATGAAAGAATCCAAAGTCCCTGTCGGGATTCGAACCTACAGCGGTAAGGGGCAAGTGGTTTGAAGTCAACGACCTTAACCACTCGGCCTCGGACGCACCAAGGCTACTATGTAGCAGGCGGAACAAGAATTGGCCTAAATACAATGTAAATTTTAGTTTTGAAAGAGTGATTGTGTTGCACCTTTGATAAGGGCACTTAGTATCTACATTATATATCATCACTATTACACCTTGTAGTATGAACATATAATCTTATAATCCATTAAAGTAAAAACTGACAAAATCAAAATTAAAGTAAGGCTGTACAATCACACATGAAAACAGCGGTTAGTCCATTAGTGTGAATATTGTTGGCTAAGAAGTCCTGAAAATAAATATTCCAGACACGTGCTATATTTTTGTCTCATTTGGCAAAAAGACAATGACGTAAGGCGTTCGTATTCCAGCGCTCAGATAAGGAATGCTTACTGAATACATTTTTTGTACTTTCCAAGCAATTGCAGAGGAATTTTTTTGTACTTTGAGACTCCATAAAACTGATATGATTATTATCTGTCGTTATTCAGATTGGGTATTCACGTGCACTGTCGTGCACAAAGACTTGAATTGTTGAAATGATCAAGTCACCCCCTTTCCATATTTTTTATGATCATATTCACATTATTCAATATGTATATTTATCAATTTAATGTATAGTTTGCTTAACACTTACATTTCTATTTACAGTCGTTCTTATTTTCATTGGCGTGTTCATTTTTGTTGGGGTTCGTGGTAATTTGGGACATGAACTTGGTACAGCATTCGGACTGTTGTTTGCCGTATTTGGAGGGTGTTTCCTGGGCGTGGTTTTCGTGACGGAGCTTGTACAAGTTCTCTGTTGTAGTAATTTTGGTGCCTAGTTATCATCCAGTACAATAAACTTCATTGAAGATCTATTGTAACTTAGAGACTTTTTAGTCTTTCCACAGTGATCGACTAGAAAAAAAGTTATCCTGTAACTATAGTAACTGAAATAGTATTTCATAAACTTCTCAGTGTTTATTTTACATTGACTCAAAAGGATGTTAATATGTAGATTGTCAATAGCTTTTTTGTGTTTGCCATTCCCAATAAAGTGTACAGAAAAGATAATTATTAATGAAAACGAATTTATTTTAAAACAGGGAGTAAGATTAACAAGTAACCCGTTGTGAAGAATTGTGAATCCAAATTGTTAATTAATGAAGATGTGAGGCCTTAGAAGTTTATAGTGAGATTATAATTATTATGAAATATGTATGTCTTCAAACAGTTATTTTTTGAAGTAATTTCAATTTTTGTCAGACATTTTATTTTGGTCCATCTTTTTTAATTGCCTGACAACAATGTTTGTATCCCTTTGATGAGAATTGTCACGTGGTATAAAGTCTTAGCTAATATTTATTTACTATAGTTGTGACTGTATAGAATATTAGAATATAGAATATATATCATTGATCTACACAAAATGTTAGTACATTTGAGCCGCGTCACGACAAAACCAACGTTATGCGTTTGCGACCAGCATGGATCCAGACCAGCCTGCGCATCCGCGCAGTCTGATCAGGATCCATGCTGTTCGCTATCAGGTTCTCTACTTGAAAAAAGCTTTGTAAGCGAACAGCATGGATCCTGATCAGACTGCACGGCTGCGCAGGCTGGTCTGGATCCATGCTGGTCGCAAACGCATTACGTTGGTTTTGTCGTGACGCGGCTCATTTGTAATATCATAACACATGTAGAGGGAGATAAAGTTAATTAGTGTCCAGCTTTATTTGTCATCCACTGAGAACGCTGTGTTTCTTAAAAATTCTCCGTGTTAATTTTCATAGAAGAATAATCAAATTCCGTTTATCGTCGCCTTCATTGTTTCATAGTGCTTCATTGAACCGCGTTCGTAAATATAGACAGGTTGTGACGTAATAAAGTGAATATTAATTAAGCTAAATAAAGCTTGACACTAAATATGTTAGTTTTCATCCGTAGCTGTTCTACAGAAATTAGAAACATTCTCTGGTCGCTATCGCTCCTGTCGAAGTTTCTAATTTCTGTAGAACAGCACGGGTGAACACTAACAAATACTTAGCTACATATCATGGTATTTGGTTTTATACGTGTCTTTTTTGTTTCTTTTATTTTATATTTACGATGCAATCTTGTCGTGGACGAAAAATATATTACTATTTCTGAAACATTTATTTGCATATATAATTTTCCCGTTAATTCTTTTAATGTTGTTTTAACGTTGTTAGAGTTGTTTTTGTTGTTGAAATATTTAAGTCCACGTTGTGGAATAAATTGATCTCTTTTTTTCTTTTTTAGTGTTCTACTTGTATTTTATCCAGGTTTCTAGTAGCTTCTTTCGTAAACTGTATATTTAGAACGTTTCTCTTTATTTCATGTATTTTAATTGATAGTATATTGCATTGTATGTCAATTTTATATTTAGTGATTTTTATTTTTATTTGGTATGATTGTTGTTTTTTTCTTAACTTTAAAACATATATATTCCAGGCAACATATAAATCTACGTTTTTCTATTTTGAAATATATAGTGTTTATGTGCTTGATCTTGTACTTGTATATTCATATTAAAGGACATTTATTTAAAAAAAAATTAAGATCTATTTCCCGTTTGTTTCGTTATTATTATGTATATTAAAAGCAATTTACATTATTAAAACATTTAAAAAGTTAATCACCTTTATAACTAAACCTTTAGGGTGTTTTTCGGGGTTACGGACATTTAAGTTAGGTCTAATTTTTAAACTCACTCTATAAAGAACAAGAGTATTAGATAAGCAAGATTTTCGTTTGATGTCACCGTTGTTAAGGATAATTCAAGTCAATGAAATATCTTGCCGAATGTCTGAATTGTGTCCTTATAAACACATGAGTGAAAAAAAGAAAATAATTTACAACTTTAAAAACTGAGGCTTCTTATTGATGCATACTATGTTGTACCATGACAGAATGAAAAAAAAGAAAAGAAAATAATTTACAACTTTAAAAATGAGGCCTTTTACTGATGCATATTTTGTTGTAGAATATTTTGAATCTGTCCTTTCTATCTTATGTTCATAATATTAGTTGAAATAAAGTTAACTCGTAATAAACTTTTGATGGACGAGAGGTGCCTAACTTATTTTTGAACAAAAGAAATGCGTGCACTGAAACTAAAACACATGCACGAGATTATTGTGGCTTTTGTAATTAACGGTTTTGTTAAAAACCTTTGTATAGATGTAGTTGAGCTAGATAGTGAAGATGGTACGTAATAAAATTAGTGACAAACTGGACGGTATAGGGTTTAGAACTTTCGTAGAATAATCGCAGCAACATTTTTATTCAAAAGGAACTTAAATCTTTGAGTTATAATATTTCTTTGGGTTCCATAAGAAATATGCGCTACCAAATAGGGTTATAACGCAGTGCAACTTCTCCGTAGGGAAAATATACAAGCTGCCCACGGTGGCTTCACCTGACGTCAGAAAGAAGTTTGACCGTTTGATCGCCGAAGCGAACCGACCAACTCATAGAGAAATGACTTCAAAATTGGATGTGTCAGAGGACACGACACACACGCACTAAAATTCTAAAACCAAATTACGAAAACAAAAGTGTATCAACTTAACACGGCACAAATTAAGAAAGGCAGCGCCAGATCTTGGAAACTTTGTCTGAAACTGAAATGCAACCAATGGAAAAACTTTGTCTCTTCGGATGAGGCTATGATTTACTGAGGCGAAAGTTAAGGGCTAAAAAAGGTATGTTATATCAGAAAGGAAAAGATCTTGGTGAAACACTGAAGTTTGTCAAACAAGATGCTTTTGCCAGCGGCTTCATGACATGGGCTAGTGTTTCCTCTAGAGGGAAAACGGAGATTCGAATCATACAAAGTGAACTGTAAGTACTTTATCAACAAAATGCTAAAGCCTTTTTCCCAATATCATATTATGATATACAAGATCAACAAGGAAAGGCGGTGTTCAAAGAACGGAACCCCACACGACCCAACAACAAGATTCAGCGGCAAGGAGCCCAGGAGGACCCCAAACAAAAACATTACAGGGCGCAAGGCAGAAGACTTTCCCGAGAGGGGTGGGTGCAGGACAAAGGCCATAACATTCCACCAGGACAGTGCGTATAGCCACACGTCTAAAAACGCTATATTTTCTCAAAGAATGTCAAATTAACTTTGTTACCCCTGAAGAGTGCATCAATGGATTTTGGTTTCTGGGGTGTGCTTAAACGTCGTCTGCAGAAGCGGCAAATAACGACGTTTGTCTGTCTAAAAAAAAGGCACTAGGACGAGTGGTGCAAACTTTATCAGGAAACACTAAATATTGACAAAACGTTGTAGATTTGTGTAAAATTGCCATGGGAGTCCTATTGAACATTTACTACAATCAATGCTAAGAACTGGTTGATGTTTTCTTTTTGTTGAAAAGAAGTTTTCCTTTTCTTGAAAAATAAGTTGGGCACCTCTTCTACATGTAATGTTCTGACATAACTTAGATATTGTTTCAGTTTCCACATTTGCATTTTGTATGTGTTATAAATTGAAAATTTTCTCAAGATATGTACTTTATAAAAACCCTTTTTTGAAATAGAAAAGAAAAAAAATATGAAAAAAAAAAGTGTTGTAGTTCTATTTTGGGTTAAAAATTAAAACTAAAAATTCTTTTAGTTGTGAAAAAAAAGTATTTTAACAAAAAGTATGGCAAATAGTTTTTATTTTTATTTAAAACTGTTATGTGCCCGTTTTTTTATTTGATTTTTGCATTTTAATTCGGGTGCAATTATGGTTTACAGTGATAATAATTTTATCAGAGCTGCCTTAGGTCAAAGTTTTATTATATTCTTTATGTTTCAAGAAGTTATCGGACAACTCATACTTTGTAGGATATACTTTAAATTGAGTTTTAACAGATCAGTTGCACCTATTTTGCAATGTTGGTTGTGCTACAAAAAGCACTAATTTGCCTCTCAAATTTGAAAGGGGAGAAAGCAATGAATTTCTTTCCAGTATACATTTTATTTCATAAATACTGATATTGTATTGCCTAGAGTAACAACAGCGTTGGAATGTAAATGATGACTCTGTTACATATTTAGCAATACTTCGTTTTAACCCCAGATATGGTGCTTACAAAGCGGCTTCCTAAACAAACTGTTCCAATTTACTGCGTGCGTGCGTGCATGTGTGTGTGTGTGCTTAATGAGGGTCCATCCGCCATTTTTGGCACTGAGAGAATAGATAAAGATATGTTCTTTTTGTCTCTTTGTATAAACATAATTTTCTATGATATATCATGCAGCAATCGATTGCAGGATAAATAAACTTACCGAGCGAAGAATTATTCTAACTGCATCCTACTGATTTACTTGCAACCAGTTAATTGGTGTGTTTATAATTAAAGTAAAAAAAGCCAAAAAAAACCAAAAACGTTGCAACGGTTTAAAATTACAGAAAATTACATTGCAAATACTTTACTTAGATGTTGTGTTTTTTCGTTTGGCAAGACATGTATTGATCATCTAGTTCCATATAAATGTACGAGCCTGTGATGAAATTTTATCTTTAGATGCCATTTAAATTCAAAAACGCCCAAACTGTAATGTGAGGTTATAGTAGTTATAAAGCGAACATTTGCGATTCAGTTCATTGTATACTTTTGTACTTGTTTGTTTGTTTTGTTTTTGTTTGTTTGATTGAGTTTTACGTCACACCGACACAGTATTTGTCATACGGCGAAGTTCCAGCTTTACTAGAAGAGGAAGACTTCATGTGCCCTTGGGTACAAACTGGCACCTGAGTAGAACCACAGGCGTTCCATTAGCAAGCTGGATAGCTTCCTCACATGAAAAAATCCAAAGTCCATTGTATACTTGTACTTGAATACTTGTACTTGAATACAACATAAATATTAATATTCCGAATAATTAGCGAAAATAAATATTAGCATTCTTAGCACATTTTACATATAAACAGAACTCGATATGGTGTGTAATCTGCCACAAATGTGTCCACACGACGGACAGTGATAATAGAAACTTCAATGTGAAACTTTCGTGCAATTTCGTTACAAGTTGCGTAAGAGAATAACGAAACCAATGGGCGAAGCTAAATAAAAAAGAAAATTCAAGAGTGGATCGGAGTTAATAGGAAGGATTCATGACTTGGTCATCAATACCTGTTATGTGTATCACGTGATACACATTATCTGGAAAGTCGGACAAACTGTGTGCTACACATAATAGAATGTACACTATAAACTCTTAGAAAATGATACTCCTAATCTAGCAAATATCACAGATCATTTTCCTTTTGATCATAAGATATGTCTTCAATACAGATGTTAGAATTTATTTTGAATTAAAAAGACCTTTTTATACATTTGTAGTATCATACTTCCAATGTTTATCAAAAGAAAAAATGACTTTTCGTGTCATTTATCTATTTTGTTTCGAGAAAGTTATTAACAAAGGTGATAAATTTAAAGTTAGGGTCACTTAAAAAACGAAAAATGAAATATTATAATATCCCCAATCTAAAAATGCATCATTTGACTAAAGAATTACAATTATATCATGACTTTAGTATTAATAAATTTTCTGTATTAAAATAAAAAATCCAAAAATTGTTTATAAGGGCCAACTTGAGATCAGAACTTAAATAAATTTAAATCCAAGTATTATAAAAATAAAAACAACTCTTAAATCTAAGAAGATAATTAATCCTCTGAATAAAAAGTATAGTAAAGAATTATCAATACTGCAATAAAAAATATATTAAACTTTCTAAACAAACGATTTAACACTAAGGTATTTCGGGTATATACTTGTAATTCAATTTTCTCAAAATTTGAATTAAAATCTATATTTAATTATTCTTCTGGATCTAAGTATTATTAAATCATATTTTTTTTTTAATTTAACTCAAAGTATGATAATCTTCTGGATCAAAATTTAAAATCAAAGTATTATTAATTCTTCCTTATCAAAAATTTGATTTTAAATCCATGTAATGTTAAATTGTCTTTGTAAAAGAGTAAATTTTAACAAGCGTTTTAACAAATATCCTCTCAATCAGAATTTTTTTAATACTGGTACAAAAGGGAATAATTAGTCAACTAAAATAAATTTGAATGCTATGACTTGATCATTTTATTAATAACTATTAATGATCGAAATCAAATGCTTAAGAATTACAATTAAATGCGAAACAGGTTTCCAAGTTATATTCAATAATCAATGATTTGTGACGGACATGCATTTATCTACAAAATAAGATATTTTATTGCTGAAAAATATCCTGTACAATAATTATTATTGGCTATTGTGAGTTTTAGTACTATCTTTTATGCAAGAAAAAATTCTTAAAAATAA